TCACACATTAACTCTACAAAATCTAGTTGCATCAGTTTTTTTTTCTACAATCACTACAAAATTTGAAAATATCGCTGTTCGCCCATATTTAATGCTCACTCTAGCAAAATTTCTCCAACGTTTTACCGCCTTCCCCCGCACCATGAAACTACTTTGCACTAATCTGCGAGAATCGCTGCTTTCCCCCGGCCATTCTAAATTGGGGTAATTTCGGCGGCTTCTCTTCCTTGGCACATTTACTGAACGTCATTTTTTTCTACCACATATCGCCTGTGCATTCCTCTCAGCGCGTCATCGAGTGTCAGCTTTCGTTTATATTAACATTAATCAACAATTTCGCCCCTGCAACGCCCTTATTGCAATGATGTACTGATGACAGAAGCCATGGATAGAACCACCCATCTCTGGCTTTTTTTTCTCGGCTGGCGCGCTATCACTCGAATAATTATGATGATACCCTTCTGTGGACCTTTTGCTACAAGATATTCTTTATTGACCGGGCGAAATCTAATTTCCATTGAAGCGGAGATTTTTTTAGACGCTGGTCATCCTCCTTTGCATTCTCTTAACGATTATTTTTCACACTTCAATGATTACGTTTGTAATTTTGGGTCTCTTTTTCAATGGGATAAACGCTGTACTGCTTGGCGCAGATCAAGTTCCCCCCTACAAAACCGAATGCGCCTAGGGTCTTTCTTAAAGTGCTGCCATTGTATTTCTTTATCCCTGGTGAAATTGGTGAAACTGGTGAAATTTTTAAAGTTGTTGGAATTTTGTCATCTGGTTCGTAGTTTCATGGTTGCTGCCACTGACTGCTCACTTTCCAAAGGGTGCGGCGTCTCTATTTTTCGGGTGAAGGTCATAGAAACGATTTAATAGACACAGATGTGCCACTCACAATTAGTACCACTTATGCCACTTTAGAATGAATTGCCTCTCTCAATTGAACGTACAGTCATAATCCCTGCAGACGATAGGGGCGTGACAGGGAGTGAACTGAAACTGTTTCCACCAATGACGTCATACTGAGTCCGCAACGATTGGTGGGAAATTTGTTCTGGCTGCTCTACAACTCAAGTCCCTTGAACGCCCCCATCATGCATTAACGACCAGAGGCTCCTGATATAGGATTAAACTTTCACCCGTCCAAATAAACAACTTGTTTTGCCAGCGGCGAAACTAAACCCGCCTCTTGTTCGCCAGCAGACCTCCACAGCCCATTTTCTAATAAGGCGAGGAAATCTTAATGCGCCATTAGCTGAAAGAAATGATCGTAAATGCAGTAATCGTTGCGAAATGCCCAAATTCAGGTCACGTCACGGCGATGAGGGAAATTGGTCGTTCAACACGACGACCCGCTTTACCACTGCCTCAGTCTCGGGCGTGCCTCTCAAGGCCAACATGTGACCTCGCCTTCTCCTTCATCATTTTTTTGAAGTTCTCACTAAAGAGTTCCTTGGTGAAAGGGGAGAACACGGATCACACCCGGAAGGATAACACCTTATTTATTATAATTTCTCCCAATGTTTTCAGATCCCCAAGGTTGACCGATTTCAAATGTGCCCTACCCCAGGTACCCAAATAAACTGGGAACTTTTCAACGCGGGTACATCATCGGAAGGGTGAAATGGTGGCGTCAGTGCGACCCTCGAAGGGAGCTCGATTCGATTCTCTCACATACTATCTACTATCTCTCGAATCTTCCCAAATTCCCAAAATTTTTTCATCGAGCGGGAGGGGTACGCACTGTGCCTGATCGGAATTATCAGCTATACAGCTATAGAAGAAATTGTTCCGAGTCTAAAAACGATCTCCATCGCCTCAGCGGCCGAGTACTAACCCCTTGTAAGCACTTTTAACCCTTAGTGAGACTCATACCTTCACACAACGGTGATGTGCACTGTTCTGTTCACGCTGTGCTCTGGCTTAGTCAGGAAACTTCGTACACTACGAAATTACCAGCGAGGGGTCGTATCTGCTCATTGCTTTGGGAGAGGCGGATCACCGGCTTCAAAAATTTCGTACGTAAAAATCTCTCCCCGTCTCTTAGTTGAAGACGCAGCGAAATTCCTGTACAACTGTCATTTTCGATAGTTGATTCTAGTAGTGCGGTTACGCCCTGCCACTCGACATAATTTTTTTGGAGGGGGGGGAATGGGAGGTTTTTGAAAAATCCTAGAAAAACTGGTGGACAATTAGGAAAGGTCAGTAAAATGAAAGGTACGATGAGGAAGGGCCATCGTACCAGAGGAGGAAATTCAGGAGGAGGGGTCGTATTTTGCAAAAGTTCTTCCCAGCGATAGGGCGTCCCTGATTATCGTTGGATTATCTTTACCCGCGTCCAGGAAATCTCACTGGTATTGTCACTATCGTTGACCTGAGATTATTGCCGTGGTTCTTTGAAAAAGTGATTTACGGATTGCAATCTGTCGAAGGCTTCATTTTTACTGCCTCAGTGATATTATTACTTCGAGTAGTTTTCAGGAACAATGCGAGAATACAAGATAGTGGTGCTGGGAAGTGGAGGTGTCGGCAAATCCGCTTTGGTTAGATATTACTCTTGTGGAGCTAACAACTTCGTCACAGAGAAGGGGAGGGGGTGCACACCTGTAAGCTTTCCGTATGTGTCTCTGCCTTTGCTATTCTTTTGTTTTTTTTCCCAGTCGTGTCTCATCATGCAGATCCTGGAAACTCTTGTCAAGCACCATGTAAACTCCTGTCAAGTTTGGCAGAATGATACTAACGTCATTTGTACACCATTTCGCCATTTTATTGGAAATCTTGCAAGTTTGGCATATTTTTCATTTCATTTTGGCAAGTTTGCCAGGAGTTCACAGGGCGCTTGACAGGTGATAACGAGACTTACAGGGTGTAGACAAGACTTTCCGTACATTCAACAGGAGTTGGTATGCAGAAAAAAGCTTACAGATGTGCCCCCCCCCCCCCCCCTTAAAGGTCATCAACGCCTCTTTTATTGCTAGTAGTATTTTAACCTGCCTACATTCATTCTCGTTTCAGACAGTCCAGTTTGTTCAAGGGATTTTCGTCGAGAAATACGATCCCACAATTGAGGACAGCTATAGGAAGGTAAGTGGGTCATGTCACTCTCGCCCCCATAATTCCCATCATACGAATGATAAAAAATCTTGCAGTTCAATTTCAGCAAGTGGAAGTTGATGGTCAGCAATGTATGCTGGAAATCCTGGACACCGCTGGGACGGTAGGCTAACTAACTGGATGTCGCGGGGGAGGGGGTGCAAGTTGCGGCTATGCGCTTTGCATGTGAAATGACGTGTGCATTCACACCAGGATCTCATCGATTTAACGATCTAGTGGACCTGAAATGTTTTGTCAGTATATATTCTTTTTCGCGTGCATCGCCGCAGCGTGGATCTCCTGACCTGCATTCATTTCTCATGGACTCATTATCCATAAATTTTCAGCAGGGCTGAATGTATTCAGGAACAATTCACAGCAATGCGCGATCTCTACATGAAGAATGGGCAAGGATTCGTGTTGGTATATTCGATTACGGCTCAGTCGGACTTTTTCAAACGGATTCTTTCATTTTGACCTCGGATTTCAAATCCTTCCTGAAGTGAAGGAAGCGGATGAGTAGTAAGGAATAGAGTAACTCCACGAACTTAGTTTCTACTACTTTGTAAGTGGCTAGTAATAGTTCTGGCTGATTTGCTGTCCTTTGTGCAAATGACTGCATAATGTTTTATCAGTCGCATCTCACGATGCCTTATGTTCTCACTGTAGTGGCATTTGTTGCATAATATCATTGCGTTTTATTCCGTAACGGCAAGGTTGCTATGCTTAACCTCTGTAGATTTATAAAATTGATTTAAATTTTGTTCTGAGCACTTGCGTAAACTTTCTTCAACGGTTATCCCGTTTCTATATGTAAAAAGTTACCTCAGCTTTCATGTCGTCAAGCATTTGCTTTGTTTCCAGATTGCCTTTCTCGTTAATGTCCCATAGCACCAGCTTTGCTCCGAGTTTCGCAAACTGCAAAGTTAGTTGTTAGTGGGAGTTTTGGCTGGTAAAAAGGAGGTGGGAGATATTAGGTCTCAACTAAGCTCGTGACATCAAAATGCTAAGTCAAAGAATGCGAAAAAATTAATGGAACTATGTAACGAGACAATACACAATTGCCTTCACTGGGCGGTGCGTGGCGATCGAGCGTCGCGCCACGCGGCTGCGACGAGTTGTTCCTACCGGCATTTCAAAATCGAAGTCAAAAGGGATGGAGAACTTTTGATTCGCTGGGCATGAAGTCCTGGCTTCGCTTGAATTCCATATGAAATTTCGCTGCTTCAGTCGAGCAAACCTGATGTTCATGAGATTTTGTTCGCCACCGGCCGCATGATGCGCAGCGCGGCCGAGAAATTGGAAAATGTCTCATCCTGCTTTCCGAGTTCAGAGACCTAATACGCGGGGATTATAACTATATTTGCATACCTCTTTTGCCATAAGACGTTCCCAGTCACTTCCTTGAACCTCGGTTGATTGAGAACACTGGCAATAAGTGAGAGCACCAAGCATTTCAGGACTACCACTACTGTCTCGACAAATTGGTCGAGCACAGTCATGTCTAAAATGGACTATGATAGAAGAGTATACGTAAAGTCATTGAAATAGAAGTAAAACTGGGATTCTAGAAAAGTTTCTGCCCTTTTTGAGTGCTTTACTGCTGCAATAGCGCTATCAAAGAGATTGGACGCGGCAGTAAGAACCCAGTTAGAGGGTGGAGATGACTGTCACAGCTGGGCAAGGAATTGTGCTATGGCTGGGAGGTAAGCGCAATGTCAGAATAGGTCTTCTATTTCGTCGGTGATTTCTTATGCCATTTAAAAACTACTTTTTTTAGAGCTCTGGACTGGGCTGTGACCTGTTTAACAGTACTAGAGCACGTCGGAAAAAAAATCCCAAATACCTCAGTACTCTATAAGGTACCAAGATAGCTATGGAGACTTTGGAATCCCCATAGCTATTTCAAAGCAAATCTACAGGTACCGTACTACTTTATGAGGTCTGAAGGTAGTGCAAAAAGCTCGGCTGTTGAACGACCGCTTCAATGAAACACCATAAGAAAATGCTTTTTGTGGGTTATCTGATAGTGATAGTGGTCTTATGGAAGTGGCCAAAGGTTCGTGTGGAGACCAAAAAGCACAACCAAAGAAACTGTGTAGGCAGAAAAGGCCTCATTGAATAAAGATAAGGGAAGGACATCTACCAAGCTGGGTCAGCATTTTCGGGCGTTATCATTGAAGTTTGAACCTTGTATGATAAGGGCTAGCAAGCGCAGAAGGGCTGAGTTGCCTCGCGACCTTGCTGGACGAGGAAAACATAGCAAAGGCAGATTAGCAAACAGTCCAACGACTTTATTTTGACGCAATCGTAGTGGTTGACAAAGCAGACTGGGTCACCTCGAGGGAGTTCTCCAAATGAGGGACGCAGACAGAGAGCCAAATGCAAATTCTCAATAACTCAGGGCCCAGGGACTTCATCACAATACGATTATACGATTATGAACTGGAAACAGGTGAGGGAACCCATCATATAAAAGAATTTGAACTTCTCAAAAGATGAGCAGATACAGTTCGGCTTGGGAGGGGCACTTTGCACATTCTTTACCTCCTCAACGAGCCATCAAGTGAAGATCTGCGAAATATTGTGAGACCATGTAGTGGTACCAGTTGAAGTTTGTAAAAAAAACACTCCAATATCGTAAAGAATATGTGCCAGCCCTTGTAATGTAATGAAATGACATTGAGAAGCAGCGAAAGTGCAAATGCCCCCCCCCCCTGGGCTGAATTGCGCCTGTGAGTATTTCGAAAGAACATACTTTGTCCAGCTGGTCACCAAGGTAACCAGCTGTTCAGTATTGATAAAGTAGAGCCTATCATGTCAATGCCGCAAAATAACTGAGTAGAATGCACGGGGTCATTTTTCGGCTTCGGGGAGAGCGAACGAGAGCTTTATTCTGCTTTTCCACCACTCTATTCGGAACGTCTGGCCGCTTGCGAACGAGCTGGGCCGCGTGAAAGAGAGCCGTGGATGGCGCGTCCCTGTTCAAAAGCCCTTTTTATTGGATTTATTCTGAAAAGGGTGTCGAGATTGAGCAGAGATGACATATGGTTTCGACCAAAGGCTCTACGAACCAGAACCATGAAATTCATTCCGGTGGTCTTTTAGTTGTCAATAAAATAGTCCTAGAAGCGGAGGAACCTATTTTTTTAATGGTGGGTGAAGTGAGTGAGCAACGTGAAGTCGTTAAATGTGAGAAAGCAGCTGCTGACGAGCAAAAGAGCATTCCACCTCGATAGAGGCGTTCACAATAAACAAACCATCATGATCCAGTACACTTAGCCGTCTAGCACGCACGCATATGCGCTTTGACTTCTTTGAGCGAAGAATCGTTAGCACATAACTCGTTCGTTTCATTCAAGATGAGTGTCTAGGCCTAACTATTTATATGTTAAGGATTATACAGTCGCTCAGTGTTCTGGTAAGGTTGTCTTCAGGACACGTCCTGCGAGGACCGGTATTTGAGTGAGTTGCCATGTGTTGAGTGGCTCAGGCAGAGCCTAGATAAGTCGATTGGCTGTGCGCTGTTTTGTCAACGGGCCAAAACAAACAAGATTTTGCCGCTATTCACAATTTTCAAAACTGCGGGTCCGGAAGTTGTCCAGTAATGTAATCATGTGTTTGTGGATAACCATAACTGCGTTTGGGGACCAGGAGTCTCCCTGTTCGCATAGTAAACTAGCTGAGAGCAGAAGCCTTAGACCCAGATAAGATTCGGTACCACAGCTCACGCTTTCAGTTGAGCTCTGACGTCTGACATTATGTATTTTAGTCATGATTGATTATGGTTTCTCTTGACATGTCAATGCAAAAAATAGAAGGGGAAGTGCAGCTGGTCGGGGGTTGCGCCTGCCAAAGGTAATGAAGAACGAAAATGATCAGCAGTGCGAGGCATCACGGTATGGATGCACGTACCCCAAGTTAAGCGTAGGCTCGGAGGCGTGACGACGAATGCTAATGCAACTGCTGCTTCAAGTGGCTGGGGGGTAGTAGAGTTTTGGGCCCTATGAGACCCCCCCCGCCCTCACCGCCGCATCACAAGGCGAAACTGGTAAGTATATGAAAAACCCAAAAAACAGTGCCAATAAGAAAAACATTTTTAAACAAGTGCCGACAAGGGAAAGGCGAACATTCTTCAACTTCTATTTCATATTTACAAGCACGACTAATTCTGCATTAGTGCGGGGAGGAGCGTACAGATAGTGAGCGTGATGCGCATTAAGATTATAAATTCAATCTGCATAAGCGAGACGATTGCATCCTGGAACTTCTGTCAGTCCCATTGGCGTTGTTCCGTTTGCGGGAGATTGTCAAGGCAGTGAGGGCGCTCTTGTCAATATCTTAAGTATATACATGAAAGTGATCCTTATGTATGCAGCGCAGTATCAACGGGGTTTAGTGTTCTCCCGAATTGGCATATCAAGTTTGTTTGCTGCTTAGCTGAAGCGCTCAGTAAGCGGGCGCGCCGTGCTGGTTGAAGTATATACATGTAAACTGAGCCTTTGTATTGCTACCATATCAACGGTTTGTGCTCCCACATACAGTCTTGTTTGCTGCGGATGCTGGGGCGTGTCAGGAAGCGGGTGTGGCGCGGCGCCAGCCAGTTTTCCACCAATTGTGGTTGTCTGCCAGCTTCCATAATTGGTGGAGAACAGGCTGGCGCTGCGCCAAACCCGGCCTCTGGACACACTGCAGTATACGTAGCGAACAAGGACTATACTTGAGACACATCCTGGTGACAGGGAGGAGCATGGTTGCGCAGTTTGCCTGATCGTGGCGGAATCCGCACTTTCGGTGGGTATCGAAGCTTCAGGGACAGAGAAAAGCCAAAAGAAGATGGACAGAAAAAATGAAGGCTAATATTGATTTTGGCTATATGGCCCAAAATTGTAAGGTGGTGCAGGTTTTTCAAATAGTTTATCCTGTCAGGAAAGAAAGCTGGACATTTTTATAGAAATCTGTGAGAAAATAAATGAACGGATGAATCAGCTGACATTCCGCTGGCAGTATTGATGGCGCTTTTTGTTTAGCGCTCGTTTCAAAACATAGCCTGCATCGCAGAATTGTCATTCCGATATTTCCATACACAATGGGAAATGAACAAAAGTCACTCAACTGTTGCCAGATTTGGCCTTTCTGGGAGAGTACAGCGCACAAAAGTCGTCGAACGGTTAATAGAGATGTAATGGGAAGCGTGGGGTGCACGTCACAGCTGTCCATAATGGCCATACGAGCCGCCGAAGAAAACGTGCCAGATGTGAGGGGCTAGCTATTATCCTCTGGATGGTACGCTCAATATCGGACCATAAATGGACCAGGAAAAACTCAGCTACCGATTTAATCCAGCGGAGTGTACGGCGGTAAAAGTAACGAGGGTTAAAAGTAGTCAACAGGGAAAGGGCAATAGATCAAATATTTGAGCTTTTATATGGAGCAGAGTACCCCCTCCACTCTCCCTACTCCTCCCCTCATCTTTC